TATCTTATCCTCCCAGTGAATCACACATTAAACCTGAAAAGCTACACTCAAGCTAAATGTTCATTAAAACTAATACCAACACGGCTGTCTAAGCACTACAATGAAGCAATAGAGAGGCTCCAAACAACAGGAAGTCTATGATTAACGTAGACACAGACTCACAAGTTAGATTTCCACCTGTTATCACACACGCTTTGAAATAGCATCCCCACCTCCTCAGCCCAATTGCCAAGGGCAGACTATATAACGAACCATCTGTACTCTAACAGTTACAGCCAATTGAGATGGGCTGATGATACCAAAGAAATCTCATCTTTTTCCATTCTTTTTCCCCCCTGTGTGCTGCTGAGTAACATTTTTAATTGCATGATAAATTGAAAATGTTGGCAGGAACTTAACTTCTGTAAAATTGGAGCTATTTTTAATGTTACTTTGATGGTCTTTTCTGGTGGATTTTTTTACTGCTTTGCCTGCAACAGAAGGAAATTTGACCCTATGAACCAAACCTCTAGGAGGCAAAGCCTGCAGCTCCACAGTGTTGGGAATAGACAAAGATCGTCTGCCTCCCTCCAATGATCTGACTGAACTGTTCCATTATCCCTTCTAGAGGACAAGCTGAAAGGCAGATCTCACGGTGGTCCAAGGAGCAGAGTAATAGAATAACTGAAAGGATGGCCATTTTTAATGGAAAATAGGTATAATTTTCGTACTGAAATGTGAAAAGCATTCAGTAGAGAAACTTTTGTTCCTGAATGAAATGCCACCAAACCTTACAAAACCTGGTCAGCTGATCTATTCTCGCACCAGGCAGGTGATGTGTCAGCTCAGCAAAATTGCTTTTTAATGATTATATTGAGCTTGATATGTTTGCTAACTACTATCTCCCCTTGTAACCAGAGATAAATCTTCCTATTTTGCTGGACACTGGAAAATACAATGGACTACTGTTTGGAAGTTCCATACTTCAATTAAGCTTTGAAAGATGGGAAAGTTCCTAGTTAGATTATAGTGATTCTTCAATTAACCATCCTTACATAATGAAATTCCTCTGTAACTTAGTTGGATTTTTAAATGTTTTTCAATTACACACAGTGGTGTTGTCCTAGGCCAGACTCAAGGGCAACATTTCTACTTAGTAAAGGTGCGTACAACCTCAGAGAACAAAAATCTACACTTAGCCTCTACATCTCCTTTGGGCATCTTCCTACCTCTCAAAGGTAAGCTCTTTATCCTGTTCAGACCTCAGCTGCCTCTTTCCTCCTGTCACTGAGTCAGCCAGTATTAACTGAACATTTACTACACCAGGCACTGTACTAAGAACAGGAAATAAAATAGTATTTCCCCCGTGGAGCTTATCGTTTTGTGGCAGACTCCAATGAGTGAGCATTAATCCACATCATAGTGTGGAAAGTGCTCAGAAAGAGAACATTAAGGATGAGAGCACACACCAGGGCCCAAAACTTCAGTGTGCGTGTGTGCGTGCATGCACACGCAAGTGAATGCTCATGTGTGCTTGCACATGTATGTGCACACACATGTGTCTGTGTGCATATGTGTCTGTTTGTGTTAGATTAGGGAGAGGAGAGCTCTTCAGTATAAGTTACAATTAAATTTAAGTTGGAAAGCTGAGAATTTAGCAAGACAAAGAGACAAACAGAATGCATATGAAAACTGAAGAGACAGTACTAGCAATTACAATAATACTTGAGGAGAAAGAGACAGGCATAGCATTTACTATAAAATTACACTTTGTAAACACTATTCACATCTTAACTTACCTAACTTTCACAACAACCTCGTAGATAAATACTATTATTTCTATGCCCATTTAGAGATAAGAAAACAGAGGCACAGAGATTACGAAGCTAGTAAATGGGAAGCTAAATTTGAAAAGTGGGCAATCTGGATCCAGACCCTCTATTCTTCACTGATCTCTTATTCTCTCAAGAGACCAGGGAGGTGGGGGGACACAACTGAAAATCATCCCACACGGCGAGGGCCCAGAGTGCTTACTATTCTTACCCACTATCGTACAAAAAAAAGAAAAAATCCAGTGTCAGTGGTATCCTTGTGGACTAGTTGTGCCTGAGTTGAGTGACAGGCTGCACTGCTGGCCCGTAAGCACTTGGTGGTCTAAGTGTTGAAGGCAGGGCTCTGGTGGAGCAGAAGGTGATGGCAGGGAGGCTGTGCGTGCACAGGAGGGGGGAGGGGACGCTCCGCATTCTCTAATTTTCTACTCAATTAAGCTGTGAATCTAAAATTGCTCTAAAATATTAAGCTTACTAAAGAATAAAAGTGAATTATCAGGATTCATGCTAAAAAAGAAAGATTTTGTTTGTCACCATTGAAGGAATTTTACGTACTAGAAGCCAGGGGGCAAGAAATTATGAAGGTAAATTTGAACTATTTCTTAAGCCAACTCTGAAATTAAAATTAGGACACTGTGAGTATGGAAGACACCTCTAGCCTTAGATAATCAGTTACCCCCTCCCCAAGTGGCAGTTAAGTCCGATCAGTCCTACAAAAATGTGTGTTGTGTTTCTATCGGTCCCTCCCAAGCAATCGGCCAGTCCACCCTATGCTCCTGGGAGGTCACCGCCTGCCACAGCCCGGGGCACAATCCTCCTTCGCTCTCTGTCCCATCGGAGGGATCTTTCCTTCCTGTGCTCCAATGCTAACTCTCCATGCTCCTGTGATAGGAGACTCCGAGATGCAACCTTATGTTTTCCAGCACATACAGCAACACTTTCATATTAAATAAAATGCTAGCAGGCTAATCTCCTTTTCCTTATGTCCTCAAACATATTTCTAGGCTTTGAGCTCTGGAATTATTACTCTGATGTAACTATGGGAGAGCTCAGCAGGATCGCTAGAAAAGTGTATAGGCATTTATATTAATAACAAAGGTAAACATAGGAATGACGAGGCGAGAGTCTTTAAATCCAGAAAGACTGGCTGTTTACATCATAACATTTTGATGTAGAGCAGTGGTTCTCAACCTTCCTAATGCCGCGACCCTTCAATACAGTTCCTCATGTTGTGCTGACCCCCAACCATAAAATTATTTTCGTTGCTACTTCATAACTGCAATTTTGCTACTGTTATGAATCGTAATGTAAATATCTGATATGCAGGATGTATTTTCATTGTTACAAACTGAACATAATTAAAGCATAGTGATTAATCACAAAAACAACATGTAATTATATATGTGTTTTCCGATGGTCTTAGGCGACCCCTGTGAAAGGGTCGTTCGAACCCCACA